GCTCTGACCTAAGCACGGGCTTCTCCCACTGCGCTACCTGACTCCTGGCATTAGTTGTGGTTTGGGACTTTATCCCACCCCCTGATGCTCCCCGGAGCTACGGTACCCAGAAGCGTGCAGGTAGAGGCGAAGCATCACCACGCAGATCACAGACTTGCAGCACCAATCAAGACCCTCCTACGTCTTCCTATCATCGCACCCAAAGGCGAGGGTTTCCGTTTAACAGGGCGGACTGAGAAGCCCCGCACCTACGGACCCGCAGATCCTGCTCCTCACCAAAAGCCTCTGGATCGCAGGTGTCCTGCTGCGGCGCCTCTACAGCCCGACCCGTGGTCGCCTCCAGGCGAGCATCGCCGTCCAGCAACGCTGCTCAGTCATTACAGCCCCTTCTCCCGGCAGCGCAGTTCAGGCCCTTCTCCAACCAGCTCAGGTACAACCTCCTTTTAATCTCGTTTCCAACCCATCTCCCAGAGCACAACAGCAGAGCAGAGCGGAAAGGGACAGAGAAGGCCAAGGCCGACCAAGCCGGGGGAGAGCACAGTGGGTTTGGAAGCTGCCCTGAAGGAGCGGTGAGGCTGGGGAAGCCAAACTGGAGGCAACCAGGCGATGGAGAGGAGAGCCGAGGGCGCGGGGCTGGTGCGCCCATGGGACCAGTGCGCCATTGGGACTGGTGCACCCCGAGGCGGGTGCACCCATGGGACCAGCATGCCCTGAGGCCAGTGCACCCATGGGACCAGCGGGCCCTGAGGCCAGTGCACCCATGGGACCAGCGGGCCCTGAGGCCAGTGCACCCATGGGACCAGCGGGCCCTGAGGCCAGTGCACCCATGGGACCAGCGGGCCCTGAGGCCAGTGCACCCATGGGACCAGCGGGCCCTGAGGCCAGTGCACCCATGGGACCAGCGGGCCCTGAGGCCAGTGCACCCATGGGACCAGCGGGCCCTGAGGCCAGTGCACCCATGGGACCAGCGGGCCCTGAGGCCAGTGCACCCATGGGACCAGCGGGCCCTGAGGCCAGTGCACCCATGGGACCAGCGGGCCCTGAGGCCAGTGCACCCATGGGACCAGCGGGCCCTGAGGCCAGTGCACCCATGGGACCAGCGGGCCCTGAGGCCAGTGCACCCATGGGACCAGCGGGCCCTGAGGCCAGTGCACCCATGGGACCAGCGGGCCCTGAGGCCAGTGCACCCATGGGACCAGCGGGCCCTGAGGCCAGTGCACCCATGGGACCAGCGGGCCCTGAGGCCAGTGCACCCATGGGACCAGCGGGCCCTGAGGCCAGTGCACCCATGGGACCAGCGGGCCCTGAGGCCAGTGCACCCATGGGACCAGCGGGCCCTGAGGCCAGTGCACCCATGGGACCAGCGGGCCCTGAGGCCAGTGCACCCATGGGACCAGCGGGCCCTGAGGCCAGTGCACCCATGGGACCAGCGGGCCCTGAGGCCAGTGCACCCATGGGACCAGCGGGCCCTGAGGCCAGTGCACCCATGGGACCAGCGGGCCCTGAGGCCAGTGCACCCATGGGACCAGCGGGCCCTGAGGCCAGTGCACCCATGGGACCAGCGGGCCCTGAGGCCAGTGCACCCATGGGACCAGCGGGCCCTGAGGCCAGTGCACCCATGGGACCAGCGGGCCCTGAGGCCAGTGCACCCATGGGACCAGCGGGCCCTGAGGCCAGTGCACCCATGGGACCAGCGGGCCCTGAGGCCAGTGCACCCATGGGACCAGCGGGCCCTGAGGCCAGTGCACCCATGGGACCAGCGGGCCCTGAGGCCAGTGCACCCATGGGACCAGCGGGCCCTGAGGCCAGTGCACCCATGGGACCAGCGGGCCCTGAGGCCAGTGCACCCATGGGACCAGCGGGCCCTGAGGCCAGTGCACCCATGGGACCAGCGGGCCCTGAGGCCAGTGCACCCATGGGACCAGCGGGCCCTGAGGCCAGTGCACCCATGGGACCAGCGGGCCCTGAGGCCAGTGCACCCATGGGACCAGCGGGCCCTGAGGCCAGTGCACCCATGGGACCAGCGGGCCCTGAGGCCAGTGCACCCATGGGACCAGCGGGCCCTGAGGCCAGTGCACCCATGGGACCAGCGGGCCCTGAGGCCAGTGCACCCATGGGACCAGCGGGCCCTGAGGCCAGAGCACCCATGGGACTGGTGTGCCCTGAGGCCAGAGCACCCATGGGACCGGTGCACCATTGGGACCGGTGCGCCCATGGGGCCAGGGCCTGTGGGGCCAGGGCCCGTGGAGGTGGCCATGCAAGGACACGCCGGCCTGCGCTCACCCGGCTCCCCGCTCCCCGGGAGGTGCCAGCAGCAGCCGCCTTCAGCTGCCCGCGCAGCCGGCGGGCCCGGGTACCCCTCGCAGACACAGCAAGCGCAGATCCCCCGTTACGCGCTCCAGCTGCTGCTTCTGCATTCCCTGCTCCCGACAGCCAGTTTGTTGGGAAACTGCAGCGACAAATACATGGAAATCCCAACCGGCAAGCGGACGCAAAGGGATAGCGGGAGCAAGATACAGCCACGGGCACAGCAGAGAATGACACCAGTTTTGAGTTTCAGGACAAAGTGACTCCATGCCGGCACCTCTCCCCTTGCTGTAAGGCAGGCAAGGAGAGGGGAAAACCACAGCCCCAACAGAGCGGACTGCTCTTCGCTGGCTCACATGTGAACATCCAAGTCCCTTCCCTTTTCAAGCATGCTCTGAGCACCGGTTCAGTTTGTCTTGACCCAGCAGAGATCATTCACATCCACAGAGTTTGCCAGCCTCAACATCTCCCAACAAAGCAGAAGGAGCTTTTGTTCCCGGTGCCTCGTGCAGGAGGCGGCCACAGGGAGGAACAACGGGGTCGGAGCTGCCGTCAGACTGGGGAGCGCGGCACCTTCAGAAGGAGCAGAAGAACCGAGCTGTGAGTGACAAACCAAGCCCCGCCAGGACGTGATGCGTAGAAGGTCAGCTTCCACGGGTGCCTCACCAGCGTTGGCAGCGCCAGTACCACCAAGAGACTCGCATTAGGTGTTGGAACGGGAGGAAACGTTGTTGGGGATACGTTCCTGACACTGCTGGAAAGCAGTGCCGTTGGCACACCGGCTGTTCCGGTACGACGCAGGGACGAGCGCATCGGC